CTAATTTCTAACCATTTATGGCCCATCTCATGATTCCTTGTGGATTAATTATAACAATTTTTGAAATCTACATCATATGCTGCTGCCAGACAGCCAGTATACCTTTTCATAAAAAAATATGTATTTATTCATAGGTAACTCCAAATTCAATTCCGCTTATTTCATTGGAAAGTAAACTCAATAAGCTTTCCAAACATAATCTGTAAATCCTTGTACAAAAATTAAGAGAAATTTCGTAATTCCTCCCTCTTACTGCTACTAGGCAGCCTGCACATCCTTAGGTAAAAATTAGATAACTCTTCATAGAAAACTCGAATTCAACTCTCGTTTGTTTTATTAGAAAGTAGATTCAACATGCTTTCCAACAATATATAACAATCATAGCAATATTTAACCCTTTAATACAGAATATAACCTTAATTTATCACTACAAACACAGGATTCATATCAGGATTTATACAAAATAAAGATTTTCCTTTCTATTCCTATCAAATTTCTATTTCAGCAATAAATTCTCATTACCAACTTTCTCAATACTTAATTTGACCCTAATCAAAGTTTAAATCATCTGCCCGAATAAGGATAATGAAAACCCTAAAATTTTAGGGTTTCTCGATTACAAATTACACCTTAAGACTTAATCATCAATACTCCAAAATTGAAAGAGATTATTTACTCACCTCTAACAAACAATTTTTCCTTGTAGATTTGTTCTTTCCCTTCACTTGGAATCCTTCAATTGATCTTTTCTGTATAAGAAATAGAGGAGAAATAAGTTTTTATTTTTCTTTCGATTAGTCGTTGATTGAAAACTGAAAAGTTAACCCTATTAATAAAAATTGAGTTATTTATCAATAAGTCCTCTGAATTTCTCATTCTTTATTAAAAAGTTCTCCCACTTATAAAAATACTTAAAATAGTCCCTTTTTTTTGTTTTATTACGGGTATTACAAGGAGCCAAAGGGTTTCATGGTTAACGAAAAAGAGAAATTTGTGTGCAAGCTGAAAAAAAAAGTCTTTATAGGTTAAATCAAGTACTGTGACAATGGTATAAGAAGTTTGAGTTAGTTATGAGTAAACAAGGCTACTTAAAAACTACTTTTGACCATTGTATGTTTGTGCAAAAATTCTCTAATGATGACTTTATCATATTATTGCTTCCTTCACATAGTTAGAAAAAGGAAGATTTGTTGGGCTTGGTTTCCTCCATGTGAAGGTGGCCTAAACCAAAGCCAATTCACTAAGGACTTTTTAGTCTTTTTATGTTTGGTTATAGGGTAAACCCTTATATGGCTGAAAAAGAAACAAGAAAGTGGTGTGGTGGCAAAATTGAAAAAAAAAAAAGAGAAAAGGGGATTTTGTGCAGTTTTAGTTAAATAGCTTGATTGAAGTTAATTTGTCGTCCAATTGAGTTAAAATTTTATCAATGTGTTCACGACTCATTATTTTTCAATTTGTACGGTGAAAATTGGGTTTTGAGTTTTTTACTTGTTGATTTTGTTGGTATTTATTAATCTTTAAATTTGTTAAGATTTCTTCAATTTTTTCCTACAAAATTATTTAATCTTAAGATATTGTAGTTGTATGCATCTAGTTTTAGTTAGAGAAAACTTTGTATTCATATTATTTTGATAATGAAGATTATTTGTTATTGCCTATGATTTTTACTCCTCATTTTGGGGAGATTTTCCACGTAAATTACTTGTACTTGTGGTTCGAAAATTTATTTATTAGCTTTATTTGTTTGATTCCTATTAAATTCATATAAAAAAAGGGATAATTTGATTTTTTCACTGCTTGATATATTCACTTATCATATTGTTTGAGGTTATTTTATTCCATCACACCATACTACAAATGATGACGAAAAATATCAAATGGAAGAAGAAAAGTAACTGATCATTTTATTTTGTTTGGTTTTATATGTTACAAATTTAGTTGACAATGACTACATATCTTCATTACAATAGCTTCAAGCACTTGAAATTTTAGAGAAATCATAGAAAAATAATTTTATTGCTTAATACTTTGAAACTGCATGTCTAGTAATTGTGCCAAAGAAAATCAATCAGTCTACAATAAAGATCATAAGATTAAACCATGTAGGTGTTTTACATTTTTCCATTTACATATGTTCACCAAATCAATCTATAAAGTTGCAATGAAAATGTTAGCACCAAATTGCCATTTGACTTTAACAGGTAGTCATCGTAACTAGATCTTAGAACTATCAACGAAGCTACAATTAACTTCTTTGATGATAACAAGCTTGGACATGATGGTTTTGACACTGTCTACAAGGTAATTAGAGACCGTAGTAGAAGAATGAGTTAATTTTAAATTTTCTATTAGGACTAGAATTCATATTTTCTCCATTTTGTTGCTTCAGGGCACGCTTCCTGGTGGACAAGAAGTAGCTGTGAAGAGGCTATTTAGGAACTCTGAACAAGGAGAAGTAGAATTTAAGAATAAAATCTTGTTAATGGTAAGGCTTTAATACAAAAATTTGCTTAGGCGTATAGGTTTTTGCTTGGAGGAAGAGGAAAGGCTTTTCATCTATAAGTTTGTGCCTAAATTAAGCCTCAACAAGTTTATACTTTGCATGATTGCATTTTTTTTCCTGATGCATTTTTTGGTAGATATTATATTAACACATCTCACAGAAGGCAAGAGCTTATACATGAAAAGAGAGAGAATGTGTGTATGTGTGTAACAAAATTCACATTTATACATCTTATTTTGTTATTAGCATTGTTTTACCATGAGTTTAGTAACTTGATTTTGTAATTTTGTAGATTCAATCGAGCGTGTGCTATTGAATTAATAACATAGTTACAAAATTATAGTGAGAATTGCTAGAGGGATTCACTATCTTTACAAAGATTTTGGACTACCAACTATTCACCAAAATTTAAAAGCAGATAACATTCTTTTAGATGAAGAAATGAATCTTAAAATTTTAGATTTTAGAATGACCAAATGTTCAAATACAATCAAACTCATACTGATACAACTAGAGTTGTGGGAACATTGTAAGTATAAGTCTCCTCTCAAATGTCATATTCAAAATTTCCTTCCCAATTGGGACTAAAGCACAAAGTTGGCAAATATTAATCAAAATTACTTTTGATTGTTGACAATGGATATTGTTGTACTTAATTAACTGTAAGTTTGTCCAAAAATTCTCAATGCTTTTTTGATTTTTTTTATTCACAAAACATTTAAAATAAGAAAAGATTTTCTCGAGACAACTTATAAGTGAAATATTAGATTCTTATCAACTCAATCAACTTCGCTTCTTTGGTTTAAATATTCATAATAAACAACTTTGGTTCGCTGCTTAGTGAGCCCTTTGCTTGATAAGTCTTCCACATTATGTATTTTTAATTTTTAATGTTTTTCCCTTTAAGCGGTTTGTTGAATGGATTGCACAAGTTTAAACCCCTTGTATTATATAAGGCAACCGCATACCTAGCGGGCCATAGTTTTCCCTAGAAAATTTAAAGCCCAAGTAGTAGTTAGGATGAAATCAAGTTTTGTGAACCCATTGGCTATATAAACCCTCCCAAGTCAAAAGTGAAAGAGTTGACCACAAGCTGTTGGCGCATTGGAGAGTGGTGAATGGCTAGTGCCTTAATTTATCCAAAAGAAGAGAAAAAAAAAAAACACGAAGCCCAAAAGTAAAAGAAAAAAAAAAAGGAGTCCATCGAAAAGAAAGCATATTTTATGTCTCAAATTGCTGGCCCTGCAAGCAACAGACTCTCTCAAGTCCATGCGATTTGTTCCATAAAAGAACTATCCACGTTAAGCATATTTTGTTTAACCGCAAATTGAGTTGTTTTTGGTAGGTGCTGGGAATACGAAAATATGTGTTCTAGACTAGATTCATAGAATCAGCACAGTTTGGATAAATTTAATATATTATTTTTTATTAAATTTGATAAAAAATGATATATTCTTTTTTAAAAAAATTTAAATTAATCTTAAGCAATGTTTATAAACATCTGTTAATGGAACTTTTATTATTATTGTCATTATGATGCATGAGGTTAGAGGAAAAAAAAGAGATTCACAATTTGATATTCAAATTGATTTGGACCTTACTATTGTCAGTGTATTCTTTTTTTTTCATCTCTTTTAAATTAAAGAAATAAAACTAATTGTTTATTACCTTAATAATCCTATTCATTTTGTCTATTTTTTAAATAAATAATATTAGAGGCCTGTGAAAATCAAATTAAGCAAAGACAGCGAAGTGCAATGGAATTTGTTTTCATTATCGATCTATTTCCACGCACACAATTACTATGCAGCATCTCCCGTTCTCTTTCCTTTTCGGGGTAATTCTCTGTTTGACAATTCAGACAGAGCCTATTTACTTACGACTTTTTGACTTATAACTCAAGCCTTGACCATTTCATATTCGGTATAGTTGTTGCAAATACATTTAAGTAATTTGACCAGCCATGTGAGGATATATTCACTCATGCAGTGCATTCCAGATCTATCTCAGAGTGACTGCACCAACTGCCTAAGGGTGTCAGTGGATGACTAACGAAGACGTTGCCATGGGAGGCAGGGAGGTCATGTTCATAAAACTAACCGTTCCTTCCGATGGGATTTGTATTCCTTCTATGAATCTTCAGCTGACGGCCCGTCCCTATCTCCTCCACCTCCAACTCCACCTAATATTCCTCCTCCGCATTCTACAGATACAATAACCAAGAAAGGTACAGGATCTTGCCCATTGGAGAAATTCATATTATATAGGACTAAAAACAAGGATATATAGAACAATCCTCTTTAATAGACATGAATTATTTTGAAATGCTTGAAAAAGAAAAGTACCAAATTTTGCCTGCACGGGACCGCTTATAATGTTTCACTTTTTATAAATGCTGAATTCAATTTGTCAAGTATGTTGCTCGCTTTAATTTGCAGATAAAGAAAGTTCCATATTTTGAACTGCTATATTCATCGTTGTTCCAATTGTTACTTTAATGGCAACTTCTGGCTCTTGCTTGCACCGTGCTGCGAAGGATGACGAAGAAGACCAAATGGGAGAAGAAAAGTAACTGATCATTTTATTTTGTTTGGTTCTATATGTTACAAATATAGTTGACGATGACTACATATCTTCATTACAATAGCTTCAAGCACATGGAATTTCAGAGAAATCACAGAAAAATAATTTTATTCGTTTAACACATTGAAACTGCATGTCTAGTAGTTGTGTCTAAGAAAATCAGACAGTCTGCAATAAAGATCATAAAATCAAACCATGCAGGTGCTTTCCATTTTTCCATTTACATAAGTTCACCACTTCGATCCATGAAGTGGCAGATGAAAATGTTAGCACCAGATTGCCATTTGACTTCAGCAGGCAGTCATTGCACCTAGATTTTAGCACTATCAAAGAAGCAACAATTAACTTATCCGACCATAACAAGCTTGGACAGGGTGGTTTGGCACTGTCTTATAGCTAATTAGAGACCGCAGTAGAAGAATGAGTCAATTTTTGAATTTTCTATTAGGACTAGGATTCATATTTTCTCTGTTTTGTTGATTCAAGGCACGCTTCCTGATGGACAAGAAGTAGCCGCGAAGAGGCTGTCTAGGAACTCTGAACAAGGAGAAGTAGAATTTAAGATCGAATTCCTGTTAATGGCAAGGCTTCAACACACAAATTTGGTTAGGCTTATCGGTTTTTGCTTGGAGGAAGAGGAAAGGCTTCTCATCTATGAGTTTGTGCCTAAATCTAGCCTTGGCAAGTTTATATTTCGTATGATTGCATTTTTCTTCCTGATGCATTTTTTGTTAGATATTATATTACCACATCTCACAGAAGGCAAGAGCTTGTACGTGAAGAGAGAGAGAGCAAATTTATACATCTATTTTTGTTATTAGCATTGTTTTACCATCGAGTTAAATAACTTGATTTTGTAATTTTGTTGATCCCACCAAGCGTGTGCCATTGAATTGTGAACATAGATACAAAATTATAGTGGGAATTGCTCATTATCTTTATGAAAATTCTCAATTACGAATTATTCATCGAAACTTGAAAGCAGATATCATTCTATTAGGTGCAGGGATGAATCATAAAATTGCTGATTTTGGAATAGTTTGGTTGTTCAAATATGATCAAACTCATATCGATATAACTAGAGCTGTGGGAACATTGCAAGTATAAGTCTCCTCTCAAATGTCGTAGTCAAAATTTCCTTCCAACTGGGACTAAAGTACAAAATTGGCAAATATTAATCAATATTACTTGTCATTGTTTATAGTGGATATATGGCTCCAGTACGTAAAACATGGACATTTCTCAGTCAAATCTGATGTTTATAGCTTTGGTGTGTTAGTTTTGGAAACCATCAATGGTAAAAGATCAGTCGTTTCTTCGACGAGCAGGCAGGGAGTTTTCCAACTTATGCAAGACATGGTCAATAATTCGCGCACCATTGGAAAAAAGGAAAAAGTGACAGTGAGTAATTCACGCACCATTCGAATAAAAGGAGAAAGTGATATTTCCCATATGTTCTGGGAATTTGACTAGTAGCGCTAATTTACAGTATCCAAGTTCTTTTTTTTTTTTTGGGTATGGAAAATTTGGAAGAAACAACCACTCTTGAATGTAATAGATCCTATTCTGTGTTAAGATTTATCTTGAATGTCATAATTTTACATTAAAAATTAAGTAAATTTGAGTCTGTCTTATATTTTACATCGGAAGTTTAAAAAAATGTATAAGAGATTTTACCCTTATAAATAAGATATTTTAATTTTAATTTAGTAATATCAAATAGTTAGATACCAAGAAAATAATTAATTGAGTAAGCTATTAAAATAGTGTAATATTTTTTTGGTGACTTTTCTTATTTCAAAATACTCATTGTTGTAAATATTTATTTATTAGTGGATTGAGTTTAGAGTAAATCATTTTGGGTTGAGTCGAAATAAATATATTTGTGTGTTTTTATTTTTATTTTAAGTTTGTTATTTTGTGTGTGAGTGCTACATGTTTGTATTGATTTCCCAACAAGTGAGGTTTGAGGTTTGAGAAAATGAGAGGCAAGCCCAAAAGATCGTGAAGCAAGTATTTCAAGATGTTTGAAGTATGTCTAGTATGCCTATGCGTTTGAGATTCGATAATTTTATGTAATGGTAAAGTACGATTCAATATTTGTTAATACAACAAGGGTTGAATCAGGCATTAGAGAGTAGTAAGCTTGAAAGAATGTCTGATAGTAATTGGAATAAATTAAAAAAAAAGTTGTTAGTACTATTTGATTGGTACTAACACTAGAAGTAAAGTACAATATATTGACTGATAATACTTCGAAGAGTTTGTACGATAAGCTTGAAAGTATTAATGTTTTGAAGTCATTGATTAACAAATTATATTTACAGGGGGATTTGTATTCTTTAAAGATGAAAGAAGGTACGAGTCTTCACAATCACCTGATTAAGTTTAATATGTTGGTTTCTCAATTGCTGATGATTTTTATTAAGAAGATGAAAAGAAGGCTTTAATTTTATTGTTATCTTTGCCCAAGTCTTATAGACCTATAGTTCAGACTTTGTTGGTAAGTAGGTCTTCTTTTAGTTGGATGATGTGATTATCCTATTGTGTGAGAACGAAAGGTTTATGGGAACATAAAACTCATCACTTGAAATGAGTGCATTAGTTGTAAAAGGTTTTGATCGAGTAAAGAGTCAAAAGAGGGTTGATGAATTAAGTGAAAGATCCAAGTCAAAAGACTGAGATTACAATGATATAAAATGTTATTATTGTAGTGAAAAAAGACATATCCAAATGCACTGCAAGAAGCTAAAAAGGGATATGGTTGCTTTAAAAAAAGTGAATGATGAAAAAAATCGAATGAAGGAAAAAGTGATACAATTGCTGTTGTGTTTGATGATGATGAAGTTTTTTTGATGACTTATGTGGATGAGACTTAGACTTTGAAAGGTGATAAATGTTGGGCTTTAGATTCAGCTGCTACAGTCTATGTCTGCAATGATAGAAGTTACTTTGTAGAGTTGGAAAAGAATAAGAAGTATGGGGATATTAATAATGAAAAGGTGCAAATTCAAGATATTAAGAGTGTTTGCCTTAGATTTTGTAATGGTGTTGTTAGGACACTTTGTCATATAAGGCATGTATCGAGTTGTAGCTACAATTTAACTACTTCGAGTAAGTTAGCTTCTAGGGTGTACACATATTATGGTAGTAATGATTGATTAAAAGTGTACAAAAATAGTAATTTGATTTTATAAGGGAATAGGGTCAAAAATCACTTATATATGCTTGATGGGGTTTTAGTTGCTGGGATTCCTGCGATAAAGAAAAAAAAAGGGCAAGTGTGTCAGTTTTGTAATTACCGTTGAAGTATTTAAAGATTCAAGTCAAGAGAGAATTTGTTTGGATTTGCCTTGAATCTCATAATTCTACATCGAAAGTTAAGTGAATTTGAGTTTGTCTTGTATCCCACATCGAAAGTTTAGTAAAAGTATAAGGAGTTTAACCTTTACAAATAAGATGTTTTGGTTTTGGTTTAATAATCCCAGATAGTTAAACACTAAGAGAATAGCTAAGTGAGTAGACTATTAAAATGATGTAATTAGGTTTTGGGTTAAGTTTTGAGTAAGGAGTTTTTTGGTGATTTTTCTCATTCCAAAGTCTCATAATTGTAAAGATTTATTTGTTAGTGGATTGAGTTTGGAGTAGGCCATTTTGGATTAAGCTAAAACAAATATATTTGTATGTTCTTATTCTTATTTTGAGCTTACTATTTTATGTGTGCGTGTATATGTGTGTGTTGATTTTCTAACATTTTGATGGGTGGTTTCAGAAGTGAAATGAAGAAAAGTATCCATATCGGGTTGCTATGTGTTCAATAGGATATTGCTAATAGACCAATTATGGCTTTAGTTTCTTACTCTCAGTAGATGCATCTATTCTTTCCACAGCCTTCAAGACTTGGATTCTACCAAAACACTTCTCTGTCATTGGAGGAATCCTCATTACAAAATGGTTATACAAATTTAGTGGCATCAGATGATAACCAAAACCACTCAATTTACCCAAAATGAGGTTTCAATTTCTGACAATTCCTCGACAACGTTTGAAGATTTAGGCTTTATTTAAACTTGTTTTCTGGAATTAATTTTTTTTACTTATTTACTTTGGTCTAATAATTTTTTTTCATGTTTAAAATTGTAAGAGTTTGAACTATGATCACCTAAATTAACAAACTAAAGTTTTATCAACTGATCACGTTACAATTTAAATTATTTCCATCTTAGTTTTAATAAAATTAAAAAGTTTCATATTCTATTGAAAACCAAAAATTTTTTTTTATAGAATTATTCTCGTATATATCTTCTAAAATTTTACCTAGCTTGGGTATAAATCCAAATAAACTTCAAAGTAAGTTAGAACCGAGGAAAAATCATTCTAATTGTTATGGACATATGAGTTTGATTTACGCACCACTTTCGCTAGTAAAACGAGTTTGTAAGTTTGAAACCTGAAAAAAACAAGCAATATCAAATAACACTCTACCTTTGATTTTTGTTTGTTATAGTCTACCATTCTACCTTCATTACTGTTGAAAATAGTGACTCAAATCCCATAATAGATTTGTTTAGGATTGACTAGATATTACTTGATAAACAAGAAGACTTGCAAAAAATTTTAAAAAAAAATAGATTCTTAATAGGCAAGTTTGACTTGTAGAAGAAAAATTCTAAGAAGAAAAGAATTTTTAATAGGCAAGTTTGTATGTTTATAAATAGATGAAGTCTGTATAAGGTTATGTATAAAAAAAAAGATATAAGAGAGTTATAAAATTTTATGAGATAGACACCCTATAGACTACTAGAGATTTAACGTCTTTATGGATGTGTATGTTTAAGTGAATTAGAAGAGAATGACATTGTCCACATAGGTATGATGGTGTGTATGTTTGAATGGACTAGAAGAAATTGAGATGATCCATATAAGTATGATGCATGTATGCACATGGATATGTGTTTATTTCGGTTGAAAATACTTCATAGGACTAGATAAGATTAAGATGGTCTATAAGTATTGATTATTGAGTGAGGTTGATATGATTTATATGTTTGTAATTCTTTATAACTAGTAAATCTTATTTTTTATCTATGGACGTAAATTGATTAGATCAAACCACGTTAAATTACAGTCTTTTGTGTGATTGATTAATTAATTATTTGATTTTACTTCCATTGACTTTTATGTTTGATTAGATTAGAGTTTTTAGCTTAACAAGTGGTATTAGAGCTATGGTGATCCCTAACAAGTGATATTAAAACATGATTCGAGGCATGGAAAAGGATAAATCCATATGAGCTTGACTCAAGAAAGAAGTTTGAGTTTGTGTTTTAAAAATCGATTTGCATGAAACGTAAAGACATACAAGAAAAAATGATTGTAAAACTTTCACGGTAGGTAGAGCCAAACATATCTAGCACAAAAATAAATGATTTGATGAAATTTGAGCCAAGGTAAAGATTGTTAAGAATAGTGACTTAAATCCCCTAACAGATTTGTTTAGATTTGGTTGGATATTATTTAATAGACAAGAAAACTTGTAAAAAAATAATTTTAAGAGAAAAGGTTTTCTTATTAGGTAAATTTGTATGCTTATAAATATGTGAAGTCTTTATAGGGTTAGATATGAGAAAAAAATATAAGAGAGTTATAGAGTTTTACGAGATAGATACCTTATAGGACTACTGAGAATTTAATGTCCTTATAGGTGTGTATATTTGGGTGGATTAGAAAAGAATGAGATGGTCCACATAGGTATGGTAGTGTGTATATTTGAGTGGACTGAAAGAGACTGAGATGATCTACATAGGTATCATGCATAGGTGCACATAGGTATGTGTTTGTTTAGATTGATAATACTTTATAAAACTAAAGGAGATTGAGAAAGTTTATGGGTATTGATTGTTAAGTGAGGTTAATATATGATTTGTATGTTTGTAATTTTCTACAACTAGTAGATCTTATTTTTTATCCTGAGATATAAGTCAGTTGAACCAAACCATGTTAAATTATTATCTCTTATGTGATTGATTGATTAATTATTTGATTTTACTTATGTTGACTTTGATATTTGATTGGATTAGAACTTTTAGCCTAATAAGTGGCATCAAAGTTTTAGTGATCCCTAACAAGTGGTATCAAAGTATGGTTTGAGAAATAGGAAGAGACAAGTTCAGATGAGCTCGACTTAAGAAAGAAATTCAAGTTTGTGTTTTGAAGATCGGTTTGTATGAAGCGTGAAGGCACACAAGAGAAGATGATTGTGAGACTTTCATAATAGGTAGAGCCAAGCATATCTAACATGAAGATAGATGATTTAATGAAATTTGAGTCAAGGTGGAGATTGTTGAGAATAATGACTTAAATCCCATAACAAATTTGCTTGTGATTGCTTGATGGATAAAAAGACTTATAAAAGAAGGATTCTAAGAGAAAAAAAATTTTAAAAGGCAAGTTTGAATTGCAAAAGAAGAATT